AAAGAATGAAAGCCAGTCATTTTCGGCAGCATAGATGGAACTGGAGGACATTATGTTAAGCAAAATAAGCCAGGCATGGGAAAACAAATACTGCATGATCTCACTCATATATAGGAGCTAAAAAAGTGGATCTCATGAAGAGAGAGAGTAGATTGGTGGTTACTGGAGGCTGGGAAGGGGAAGGGAACTGGGAATGAAGAGAAATAGATTAACAGGTACAAATATACTATTTGATAGAATACATAAGACCTAGTGTTTATAGATAAGGAAGGCAACTATAATTTACAATCATCTATTGCACATTTCAAAGTAACCAGAAGAGAGTAACTGGAATGTTTCCAGCACAAGGAAAAGATAAACATTTAGGGCAATGGACATCCCAAGTACACTGATTTGATCTTTATAAATTATATAAAGGTATGACATCACATGTCCCAAAACCATGTACATGTTATACATTAATGCATAAATATTGTACATTAATACATAATAAAAAGTTTTAAAAAGAAAAATAAATAAAAACAAGCATAAGGAAGTCCAGTAATGTTCTGTTTATTTCCATAATGACCACTTCAGTGCTTTTTTTATCAGTGTCTTTTTTTCTCACCTTCTGTCGCCTCCACTTTGCTGATGCCATAGCCCTGTGAGGTCTACCTGTTGGATAATTCTGCAGTGAATAAACGTCACTGGACCACGTGCATTGGCTAATATAGGGAAGATCTTCCTAACCATTTGCGTTGTGTGACCACTAAGTGGGCTGCCCAGGGAGGAACTGCCCAGTCGCTGTCATGTTCCCACAAGGCCAAAAGTCCCTGTGATGGGGACAAGATGTGTAAGAATCTGGAAAGACAGTGGCTTTCCCTCTAAAGTCTTTTCTAGTCCAATGATGGGCATTCCAAGTACTTTGAAGGAACTGCAAAGGCCTACTCCAAGCTGGGGGTTATAGGCTGAGGGATGGGCTCTGGGGTCCTTTGGGGGACTTTGAGGAGAAGAATTACTCTTTTCTCCAGGAAGGCAAGCTTACCCCTGCCTTGGAGGTCTTGGATCAGCCCTGCAGCTACATCAGGAAAACCAGCCACACTGTCACAAGACAGCACCAGGGATGAGTGGGTCAGGACCAATTGGGTGGCACCAAGGGGCATTTTAGCCACCAATCAGAGCACCCTGTGTTCAGTCCTATTTATACATATGCTCCCCTGTGCTCAACTATGAGCTCCTTGAAAGTCAAGACTGCCTTATTGGTTCCTATATCTCTGGTGGTGGCCCTTGGTTGAATTAATTGAATGAATAGCGTCAGGAAGAATGAAATGGTGTATTTATTTAAGGCAGTATATAAATGCAAATTCTATAAACACTAAATAAAAGGCTTTCCAGTTGTTTAGTGACTTTGCACAAGGTTACACGGGAAACTGGTTATGTGTTCACCTCTGGAGAAGGGGACCAGAGGACAATGGTGTCTGGGGTGAGAGGGACACTATGCATCACTTAATGCCATTTTTATCATGAATATTTATTAGTTATAGAAACTAAAATAAAAATACTCGGGTTAAAAAGTTTCCAAAGTGCTTCCAGCAACATGGTAGGTGACTTAAGTGGCGTAACAGAGTACTGGATATTGCAAGTGTGTGACGCTTCTTAGAAGAGGCTCTTAACCATTTTCTCAGATTTATTGACTTTCAGTTTACAAACCATTTTTATAACACTGAAATGTTTGCTTTCCAGTATAGAACTCATCAAATTCATCAGTTAAAAGTAGGCTGGTGATAAGGGCAGGCAAGAACATTGTCCCTCAAGACAGAAGTCAGAGAAATGACTGTTTCATTTGGGTACAACAATTGACAGCCACAAAAGGGACCAAGAGCTGTTGGCAAAAGATTATATTGTATTCACCTCACCTTTTCATTTCTTTTCTTTTCTTTTTTTTTTTTTTTTTTTTGAGATGGAGTCTCTGTCACCCAGGCTGGAGTGCAATGGTGCAATCTCGGTTCACTGCAAACTCCGCCTCCCAGGTTCAAGCAATTCTCTGCCTCAGCCTCTGGAGCAGCTGGGATTATAGGCGCCTGCCACCATTCCCAGCTAATTTTTGTATTTTTAGTAGAGACGGGGTTTCACCATCTTAGCCAGGCTGGTCTTGAACTCCTGACCTCGTGATCCCCCCTGACTTGGCCTCCCAAAGTGCTGGGATTACAGGCGTGAGCCACCGCGCCCAGCCCATCTTTTTAAAAAAATGTTTTTTAAGAAAGTGAGTCAAATACTGCTTAGTTAAAATCAGCTCTTCCAGGCTGGGCACATACCTGTGCCTCATACCTGTAATCCCAGCATTTCGGGAGGCCAATCAGGAGTTTGAGACCAGCCTTGGTGACAGAGAAACCCCATCCCTACAAATAATTTAAAAATTAACCAGGCTTTGAGGCCTACCCCTGTGGTCTCAGCTACTTGGCAGGCTGAGGTGGAGGTCTAGGTGGTGATCCATGATTCGATCACTGCACTCAGATCTGAGCAACAGAGCAAGACCCTGTCTCAAAAATTAAAAATTAAAAAATTATTCCCACAAGCCATATACCCAGCTGATTTTTTGTATTTGTAGTAGAGATGGGGTTTCACCATGTTGACCAGGATGGTCTCGATCTCTTGACCTCATGATCCACCCGTCTCGGCCTCCCAAAGTACTGGGATTACAGGCGTGAGCCACCGCGCCCGGCCCAGTGTCCAGATTTTTTAATGATCGCCATTCTAACTGGCATGAGATGGTATCTCAATGTGGTTTTAATTTGCATTTCTCTAATGACCAGTGATGAAGAGCATTTTTTCATATGTTTTTTGGCCTCATATATGTCTTCTTTTGTAAAGTGTCTGTTCATATCCTTTGTCCACTTTTGAATGGGGTTGTTTTTTTCTTGTATATCTGTTTTAGTTCTTTGTAGATTCTGGATATTAGCCATTTGTCAGTTGGGTAGATTGCAAAAATTTTTTCCCAGTCTGTTGGTTGCCAGTTCGCTCTAATGATGGTTTCTTTTGCTGTACAGAAGCTCTGAATTTTAATTAGATCCCATTTGTCTATCTTGGCTTTTGTTGCCAATGCTTTTGGTGTTTTAGTCATGAAGTCCTTGCCTATGCCTATGTCCTGGATGGTTTTGCCTACATTTTCTTCTAGCATTTTTATGGTGTTAGGTTTTATGTTTAAATCTTTAATCCATCTGGAGTTAATTTTAGTGTAAGGTGACAGGAAGGGGTCCAGTTTCTGCTTTCTGCACATGGTTAGCCAGTTTTCACAACACCATTTATTAAACATAGAGTCCTTTCCCCATTGCTTGTTTTTGTTAGGTTTGTCAAAGATGAGATGGTTGTAGATGTGTGGTGTTGCTTCTGGGGCCTCTGTTCTGTTCCTTTGGTCTATGTCTCTGTTTTGGTAGCAGTACCATGCTGTTTTGATTACTGTAGCCTTGTAGTATAGTTTGAAGAGACTGGGTAATTTATAAAGAAAAAAGGTTTAATTGGCTCACAGTTCTAGTTCCACAGGCTGTATGAAGCATGGCCGCATCTGCTTCTGGGGAGGCCTCAGGGAGCTTTTACTCATGGCAGAAGGCAAAGTGGAAGCAGGCATCTTACATGGCAGGAGCAGGACCAAGAGAGCGGGGGAGATTGCTGTGCACTCTTAAACAAACAGATCCCATGAGAACTCACTATCACGATGACAGCTCCAGGGTGTCAAACATGAGAAAACATCCCCATGGAATCACCCCCCAGCAGGCCTCACCTCCAGCATTGGGGGTTACAGTGCAACATGAGATTGTGGTGGGGACACAGATCCAAACTGTATCATATATATTTATATAGCCACATAAATACATGTTATATATAAAACACACATGTATTATGTATGTATATAATACGTATCACTTATATGACATATATGCCTGTAATACACATGTATATTACACATGTACACATACATGTTTACATACATGATAAATGTATATTTTATACAAATACATATGTATTACATATGTGTATATAATACATTATACATGCACACACACACACACACATATATATATATTCTGCCAAGGTTGCAAAAGCAAACACAGGGTAACTGTGGGCTCAACAGAAGCAATTTCTTCTAGGTTTTTCCACAGGCAGGGGCAGGGAGAGTTACCTGGCTGATTTCCTATGATCCCCAATTAATTCAGCCCACACTGACTGAATGTCTTCTCCATGCCCAGCACCGCGCTAAGTGGTGTGTGTACCGAGTCCCATCAGAGTTGACCCTCTCCTTGGCCAACTTGAGCAATGGAAACTGAACATTCATCCCAGTGCCCCGGGTTAACATGTGCTGGGGCATCATCCAGCTTCTGTTATTTACCAAAGGCAAAGCTTATTTCAAATGACCCACTCCCTTCACTGGGAGCCAGAGTGAAGGAGGCTGGGCAGGAAACCAGCCAGGCTAGCTGGAGCCCACCAGCATGGCCTGGGGTCTGGCCTATGTTAATCCACCAGTTCCTGCTGCCCTAATCAGGTCCTGAGGGACCAAGTTATTCTAAGTAATCAACAAGAATGGGAATAATGAAACAGGAAACTAATGTGTTCGTTTATAAGTAAATTCCTTGAGTCCAGCAGCAACACAATTACTGCTGCTGCGCTATTGTTCTCTCCTGTTGGATGAGGCAAGCTGAGACCGCTGTATAAGCTAAAGCTTGCTCAGAATGTAGAAAGACCACAAAGGGACCTGGGAATTATTTAGAGGGAGGCAAGTGGTATAGTAAAAAGAGGGTGGCCAGATGAAATTTGCTGGAAATCGTGGCTCCAGCACTTATTAACTATGTGAATTTGGGCAGGTTACCTTAAAGTCTGTGTCAGTTTCTCCACAAATAAAATGAGCACAGTAACATCTAACTCACACAGCTGTTTTAAAGAGTAAGTGAGATGATGTATGGAAAAGTCCAGGCACAAACTAGATATCACCAAGTGCTCACTTCCTTTTAACTATTTTTATAGATAACTTTCAACTGCAAGGTGATACATCATGTTAATTACTGAATATGGAAAATGTTTGATAAGCCAAAAGGAAAAAACTAAAATCTCCCACAATTCCATCAGCCAGAGATAACTGTGAGCAGCATTTTTAGTATTTGTCCCTCCAGGCCTTTTTATGTGTTATTATTCTTAAAAACAAAAACTCCCATAGTGTCTTAAAACCCACTCTTTTACGACCCTAGGTTATCATCTCACATCTTCACATCCTCTATGGCATCATTAAAAAGAAAAAGTCTAACATAGTGGCCCATGATATGGCCATATCATATATATAGACACAGAGTCTCGTACTGTCACCCAGGCTGCAATTCATTGGCATAGTCTTGACTCATTGCAGGCTCCAACTCCTAGGTTCAAGTGTTTTTCCTGCCTCAGCCTCCTGAGTAGCTGGGATTATAGGCATGTGCCACCATACCTGGCTAACTTTTGTATTTTTAGTAGAGATGGGGTTTCACCAAGTTGGCCAGACTGGTCTTGAACTCCTGACCTCAAGCGATCTGCTCGCTTCACCCTCCCAAACTGCTGGCATGAGACACTACATCCAGTCTTATTATTTATTTTTTCAGACAGGGTCTCACTCTGTCACCCAGGTTGGAGTGCAGTGGCATGATCATAGCCCACTGCAGCCTCAAGCTCCAGGGCGCGGTGATGCTCCCATCTCGGCCTCTCGGGTAGCTGAGACTACAGGCGTGCATCACCACACTCAACGAATTTTTTAAAATTTTTTTATAGAGGCAGGATCTCTCCATGTTGCCCAGGTTGGTCTTGAACTCCTGGGCTCAAGGGAATCCACCTGCCTCGGCCTGGTAATCTCTTCACAATCCAGCGCCTGGTCGTCATTGTTTATTTATCCAACTTTGTATTTTTGAGCAGTGTCTCCGTTATAAACAATGCAAAAGTGAACATCTTAGCAGCTGAGCAACTTTTTTTTTTTTTTTTTTTGAGACGGAGTTTCGCTCTTGTTACCCAGGCTGGAGTGCAATGGCGCGATCTCGGCTCACCGCAACCTCCGCCTCCTGGGTTCAGGCAATTCTCCTGCCTCAACCTCCTCAGTAGCTGGGATTACAGGCACGCGCCACCATGCCCAGCTAATGTTTTTGTATTTTTAGTAGAGACGGGGTTTCACCATGTTGACCAGGATGGTCTCGATCTCTTGACCTCGTGATCCACCCGCCTCGGCCTCCCAAAGTGCTGGGATTACAGGCTTGAGCCACCGCGCCCGGCCTCTGAGCAACTTTTTTTTTTTTTTTGAGACAGAGTCTTGCTCTGAAGCCCAGGCTGGAATGCAATGGCACGATCTCAGCCCACTGCAATCCTCCGCCTCCCAGGTTCAAGCGATTCTCCTGCCTCAGCCTCCTGAGTAGCTAAGACTACAGGCACACACCATCATGCCGGGCTGATTTTTGTATTTTTAGTAGAGACGGGGTTTTACCACCTTGGCCATCTTGGTGTCAAACTCCAGACCACAGGTGATCCACCTGCCTCGGCCTCCCAAAGGGCTGGGATTACAGGCGTGAGCCACCGCCCCCAGCCCTTAGTTGAGCAACTTCCATTACTCCCCAGTGTTAAGTTTTCTGAAGGAGACTGGTTGGTTCATACTGACACACAGCCTTTCAAAAATTTCAGCCAGTTTCTGTTCCCACCTACCCAGTTAATTATCTTGATTGCAAGCCAACCCTGGGTTTTGTTTTTGTTTTTGTTTTCTATTCAGCAGCAGTACCTTAGCAATCACTTTTTCTTCTAGAGATATTTCTGCCCAAATACATAGATTTGGTGTCTGGGCCTCCTAAGGCCTGTTCCACCCAGTCTAATTCTGGAGACATAAGCTCTGTAGAAAATGGTCTCCTGCTAATTTCCCAGCCCAGGCACCAAGTGTTGTCTCAGAGAGGACCCATGATCAGTAATTCGATTCCCGCTTGTCTGCTACTGGCTACATTTCTCAAAATGTCATTAGCCTCATTCACAAATCTTGTTGAAGGTGAGTTGTTTCTGCAGATAGCTAATATCACTCATTTTCTGTTTACGCTTTGTTTCTGAGGGTAAGGGTCTCCGACACTGTCTTCAAGGGTAGATTGGGGAAGAACGATTTTATCAAAGCTGAAAGTAGGAAATTTGGTCCTTGGGACAAATAACAGGAAATGAGAGCTCAGATCAAAGAAAGGGCACCCTGAGGGAAGGGGATGTGGGACAAGCGAAGGCGTTGGTCACACATGTTCCTTGGCTCACTGGCCTGTGTCACTGCACCCCCACTTTACCAACTCCCCATCTTCTTTCCCTTATCAGGACCCTTGCAATTACACTGGGCCACCCCAGATGATCCAGGATAATCTCCCCATCTGAAAATCCTGAACTTAATCAGTTTTGCCATGAAAGGTTTCATATTCATAGGTTCTAGGAATTAGGATGTGGACATTTGGGGGATTATTATTCTGCCCACCTCATCTGGGCAAGCCAGTCTCTGGCCTGAGTTTCCTTATCTGCAAACTGTGAGTCTCCAGCAAAAAATTCTTCACGATCCCTTCCAGGTTTGGCTGGTGGAAATATTTTCAGTGAAATCCAGGGGAACTGTATAGATACAGAAACTGTACTCAATCTCTTATGGGTTTCTTTATTTCCTCCTCTAGAGCTATACTCTCTCATCTGAATGCTACCAATGTCATTTGTATGTAAGCTTTTACTAACTGAAAGAGCTGGCATAGCAAGCTTACTATGTGCCAGGCCCTGTTCTAAGCCTTTTGCCCACCTGGAACCGTTGAACCTTCCATAACAGCCCTATGAACCAAGCACTATTGCTTCCCTTATTTTATACAGTCACAGAGAGGTAAGATATTTTGCACAAGAACCCAGAGTGGCAGGACTGAGGTTAAACTTCAGCTGTCTGGCTCCAGCATCTGTACTCTTAACCACCGGCCACCCAGCATCTCATCAAAGCCCTTGACCACAGTCATGAGGCCATTGCTTAAGTCTCTTCTCCTAGACTGTGAGCAACTCAAGAGCAGGAACCTTGTCTAACTCTGTGAATCCCAGCTCTGATAACGACCTAGCACACAAATAAACAGAAAAAGGATGAATGTACGAATGAATGACTATAAGCATGCTACTTATCTATTTTAGAGCCTCTTGATCAGGGCCATGATTGCAGGACATAATAATAAACATTTCTGGGACACTTCAAAAGAAAGCATACTCCTCCTGCCAGCATTGGGAAGGAGGTACTATTATGATCGTCATGTTACAGACTAGTAAACTGCAACAGAAAGAAAAACACTAAGTAATGTGCCCACGGCCAGGAACCGGATTTGAGTGGAGATTTGCTTGACTTCCAAGCTTGCATCGTGGAGGTGAGCATGAACTCTCTGAGGGCTGCAGTTTTTAAGTAAGAATCGAGTTTGACTCTGGACAACCACAGAGAGGAATAAGATAAATGAACTTAAAAAAAATTTTTTTTTATTCCATATTACGTTTTAGGGTACATGTGAAGAACATGCAAGAGTGTTGCATAGGTACACACATGGCGGTGTGATTTGCTGCCTTCCTACCCATCACCTATATCTGGCATTTCTCCCTATGCTATCTCTCCCCAGCTCCCCATTCCCCCATTTTTTTTTTTTTTTTAAGATTGATTCGCCCAGGCTGAAGTGCAATGGCACGCTCTTGGCTCACCACAACCTCTGCCTCCCCGGTTCAGGCAATTCTCCTGCCTCAGCCTCCCAAGTAGCAGGGACTACAGGTGCACAGCCCTACACCCGGCTAATTTTTGTATTTTTAAGTAGAGACAGGATTTCACCATGTTGGTCAGGCTGGTCTCGAACCCCTGACCTCATGATCCGCCAGCCTCAGCCTCCCAAAGTGCTGGGCTTACAGGCGTGAGCCACCACTCCTGGCTGACAAATGAACATTTTGCTGGACAACACGATATGCCAGGTCCTGGTGCCAGGTGCTTAACATAACTCAGTCCCCAGAACAACCTGCTTATTCCATTTTACAGATGAGAAAACGGAGGTTCAGAGAGAGACAAATGAGTTTCCCAAAGTCTATCAGGACAGGCAAAACTAGATCTAACTCTGCAATTCATCAGCTTTCCACTACTATTAAGCTGCTGAGCCTCAGTTCTCTCATTTGAAAAGATGAAGAGATCTTCACATGGTGAAGGATTTCACCATGTTGGCCAGGCTGGTCTCAAACTCCTGACCTCAGGCGATCCACCTGCCTCGACCTCCCAAAATGCTGGGATTACAGGCGTGAGCCGCCACTCCCGGCCAGAACTTCACATTTATTATGTAATTTCATCCTCATAACAACCCCTGAGATACTATATTATTATTATTATTTCTAGTTTACAAATAGAGAAACTGAGGCTTAGACAGGCATATGTTGTTACACAGCTACTCTGAGACCCAACCAAGTTTAACTGAGTCTTGTTAGAGTCATAAGCCAAACTCTTGCCTATTTTCCTGTGCAGCCTCCAGCAGTCTCTGGCAGCCTTTGGAGTGAGGACATCCTGTGTTCCTCCAGAATCAGAACAAGGCTGGGATGGATGTGGGATGAGTTCCTTAGTGTGTGGGCCCCTCTTCCTTTGGATTTCAAAGACTCACTTCGGTGAAGTTCTGTCAAAGTCAAAAGGTGGCATTGAATGGATCGTCGGCCCAGGCTCAGAGTCCAGCCCTGGCACCTCAAGGGCTTGGCCATTTCCTCTGATCTTGTTGTCAAGGCAACCCTGGATCCCTTTGTGGTTCTGTGGTTATTCTCCCTCTTGTTGCCTTGTCTTCCTACAGTTTCAAGAGAACACTTTAGAGACAGCAGCTCCAAATGGCCTACTTGTCACTGATTGAAGAAGACGCTGACCTGAAATAAAAACAGTTCCTAGGACCCATCAAGGCCTTAACTAGAAAGGGGAATGCTCTGTAAACACCTTGAGAGAAGAGATTGTCTGTCTTATCACAACTGTACCCCAGTGCCTCACAGGATACCTGGAATGGGGTATGAGGGGGTCAATTAATGTTGAGTGAATGAATGAATGATCTGATTATGGAAAGGGGCTCCCTAAGCTTTTCAGGGGTTGAAAAACTTGGGCAGAGTGATGAGCTAAGATTTGTGGGTTTTAACCTCTGTATTGAGTCTTAGTGTGTTACAGGACGGTATTGGTGACCAACAAATATTCACTGGGTAATTGATCTTACTCTGTGTTTTATTTTTTCCTGTGTGCTTCAATCCCTTGGTTTAAGAGCAATTTTGGCTTTGTGATGGATTCCACAATTATAAGAACTTCTTGACTGCCCTCTAGTGGAAAAGATGCAGATGTCACACTCAGAACAATCCATTCGCCTTTCCTCTGATGTTGAAAGTGGCTCCCTTTTTTCTGATAACTCACTGGACTTTATATAATTCAAAATTGTGATTGTTCCAAATTTGGCAGTTCATCCTCACTTTACAGATAAAGTTGACATGTAGAACAATGCTTCTCAAATTGACTGGCAAAGGACCAGTTTTTTAAAAATGTTTAATCTGCAAACCAATCCATTGTACAAAAAAAATGAATTATTAATACTGGATATATTACATTAAAAAACAAAGATATACAAAATTAAAATTAAATGTTGTTATCAGATCCAACAGACAAAATTACATTTCAATAAATGTAATCAGAATAAACATAACATAGGGAAAAATAAAATAATTCCAAACTCTGTACATGTTCATTGAATGTGTGTATTATGTGATTAACATATAAATCGCTATTTTGCATTCATAATTTTTGTTGTTCTGCAATTATAACTAAATGAAAAATTATGAGTAAAATAGTGTTTCTCCACTTTGAATGAACACTGTGAATATCAATATTGAACAAGTCTTGAACTCCTGACCTCGTGATCCACCCACCTTGGCCTCCCAAGTGCTGGGATTACAAGCGTGAGCTACCATGCCCAGCCAGCAATCTTTATTTATTTATATATTTTTTAGACGGAGTCTCCCTCTGTTGCCTAGGCTGGAGTGCAATGGTGCCATCTCGGCTCACTGTATCCTTTGCTGCCGGGGTTCAAGCCTCAGCCTCCCAAGTAGCTGGAATTACAGGCACCTGCCACCGCACCTGGCTAATTTTTGTAGTTTTAGTAGAGATGGGGTTTCACCACCTTGGCCAGGCTGGTCTTGAACTCCTGACCTCGTGATCTACCTGCCTCTCGGCCTCCCAAAGTGTTGGGATTGCAGGTGTGAGCCACAGGTCCGCTTTTTTTTTTTTTTTTTTTTTTTTTTTTTTGAGACAGAATCTCACTCTGTTGCCCAGGCTGGAGTGCAATGATGGGATCTCGGCTCACTGCAACCTCTGCCTGCTGGGTTCAAGCGATTCTCCTGCCTCAGTCTCCCTAGTAATTGGGACTACAGGTGCACAGCACCACACCCAGCTAATTTTTGCATTTGTAGTGGAGACAGGGTTTTACCATGTTGGCCAGGCTGATCTGAAACTCCTGACCTCAAGTGATCCACCCGCCTCGACCTCCCAAAGTGCTGAGATTACAGGTGTGAGCCACCGCGCCTGGCCTATTGAGCGTTCTTAACAGACAAATACACATGTTATTGTTTGCCAACCTATCTAACCCGGCCAGAATGGACTACAATGCAACTTGCAAAGTAGAATGTGTGTTGAGATTGCTTCTATTTTTGTTGCTGTTGTAATTTAATAAAATAACGTTATTTTATTTATTTATTTATTTTAGAAATGGGATCTCACTGTGTCATCGAGGCTCGAGTGCACTGGGAAGATCATGCCTCACTGAAGCCTGCTGGGCTCAAGCGATCCTCCCGCCTCAGTGCTGCCCCTGACCACTGCTCCCCATCCCCCACCAGTAGCTAGGAAGGACCACGAGTACATGCCACAACCCCTGGCTTCCATGTTTTCTTTTAATAAGAGCTTAGTGGAGAACCAGTCTCACAGAGCTTTGTTGATGGGAATGCAAAAAGAGATTTTCAGACAATTTTAGGAAGCTCAGGATTTCCATCTTTTGCTTTTATTCAAAATGAAGCAAGTGATTCTGTATTTTCAAAATTCATCATTTATTCAATTGCCAGTTCCAACAATTTATCCTGTAGAGTTAAATTGTCTTTCAATGAAAGCAACAGATTATGGATCTATGAATTTCCCATGCATGAATCTTCTTTTGATGGAAATAAAATGTAAATGTTCCGTAACTCCATAACTTGTTTGGCCATAACATTTTACAGATATTCAATATCAAGATTATCACCAACATCACTGATAATTGTTGCTAAACTATGGAACATGTTATAATCGTCTCTAGATATTCTGTTCTTTCAGGCTTCTGTCATTTTTGCCCTTCAATCTTCTTTGCCTTTGAAAATTATATTGCATTTTCCCCTACTTAGAAGTAGTAAAAGCATTTAAAATGCCAAAAATATCACACAAAGAAACATGCCTATTGTCCAAACCACATTTTTAAAAGGTTGGAACCTTATAAAGATGTATGTTTGTTTGTTTGACTTTCTAGAAACACTAACAGTTTGTTTCACAGTCAAACATTCCTAATACAACTCTTCTCTGCAGTAAGCTTCATGTCTCACATATAACAGTTGATTATGATCAGCTTCCATATCAACACATATTATAATAAAGAGAGTCATCTCAAATTTCATGCATTATCCTTTGCGTAACTATTTTTTACTATGTAACTAGACACTGTTTAGTTCAGCTAACATTTTTTCATTGTAAAATTTCTTGA